ACATATAACACATAACGAAAGAAGAGAAAATAAAGAATATAAAGAATCCAGGGATATGCACTGTAACAGGACTTAATGAAATTTTCTCTATTGAGTTCTGAAGAAACATTCTTAAATACTGGTACTCAAAAAAGTTTGTACTTGCCTAACTCTTATATAACAAATACGAGATTGAAAAAGCTTGAACAATTTCTCTTGATTTTGAAAGCAATGAGAAGTTACATCAGTAGACACTCATCAAAAAGAAATCTTGTTTTTGTGTACTCAAAAAGTGAGTACACTCTAGAATCGGTCAGTGTGTCCGGCCGTCCGGCCGTTAACACGATAACTTTTGAAAGGAGAGTCCGATCGCGATGAAATTTTCTACACAGTTTAGTCTTAACAATATCTCGGTCGAGTTCGAAGATGAGAGTGATTGGCCGAACCATTGCTGAGTTATAGCAAAAATAGTCATTTTTCCCTATGAGAAGATAGACCCTTCTCTACATTCATAAAAAACTTTTCCTATCATAGTTATATAAAACTCCAACTATTATATACCATTCGATAGAGAATTTCACGAGCTACAAAATGGTATATAAAACATAAAGAAACAAGAAAGCTAACTCGCCTATTGCAAAGATAATTAATCGGAATTTGGTTCTATTTTTGTCCGCGCTCTATGTGATCCACAATTAGAGCTCTATCTTCCCATCACAGCGATGATAGTTCGAGGTTTTCTAGAATGGAGAACTGGAATCTATGTTCCATTCGCCTCGAAATCCTATTGGTTGAGCAGTGACCAATAGAAATCAAGTTATAGGAAAAACGACTTTCTTAGGGTAAATCAAGGTGAAGAGTTCAAATCTGAGCTGTATTTGCCTCCAAATCGTATTGGCTGAGCAATAGCCAATAGAAATTAAGTGTTTACAGGACGGGTTTGCCAGGACAATTTTGTTGTCCACACATTCTAGGATGACTCATCTGTCTCATTCACTTTTTGAAGTACACATAACTCTCGGATTTAAATCCGAGGTTTCCACATTTATTTATTATTCAAAAAAGTCTTCGTATTAGAAATAGCAAATGTTTCAGACGAGAAAACAATAAATATTTTCAATTAGAACTTATGAGAAAGGCTGAAAAAGCATGAATTATCAGGTAAAATGTTAATAACTATCATACAATTCAGATTATAAATAGTATTACCTAGAAAAAAAAAGATCTGTGTATCAGATCAATCAAAATAGCTTACAACTAGTTAATTCGAAAGTCCATGATAACAAAATTTCTAACTTTCAAATATAAAACGTTGGTTTTTGCGAACAACCCAATATTTTCATGCCTTATCGATTACAATTATGCGTTTTACTCATGAACTATGAATTTTACTAATTGATCTAAGCATTTTTAAAAAAATGCTGTGTACATTAATATACTATTGTTCATGCAGTTTATGATCATTTCTTGTTCTTATTCTCTTAGATGACAAGCTGAACGTTATCTATGTGAAATGCCTCATAGTTATTCAATCTGACTTAACAAGAAATGAAAAGAAATTTTAACTTGACCGCATTATGTATGTATGTTCATCATATGAAAGCCAACAGCTTTTAATACAAATGTACTATTTATCAAAACTTTAACTTAGTCGAGTTAATAGCATGGAAGGTTTTTCAATTTTTGTCAAAGTCCTATTCGTAGCTTACACTGTTTATTAGTTTATATTTTATTAAAAACAATCGAACTAAAATGGCGGACATCAGTATCATCTTTGATGAATAAAATCTTTTGAAAACCACATTCATTTGATTAATAAACAACTTTTTTCTCACTCGAACGAAAACGATGTTTATCTAATGACGAGTCCACCTAACGCAATCGATAAAAATAAACGATTCGATGGAAATTTATATATTTCTGCTCTAAGACAATTTATCTATGCTTATTAGTAACACAATCGAATGTCTTTGCTTGTTGGAAATGTATTTGACAGTAAAAAAAATAATTCTATCTCAACCAGAACATGTTCAAAACATTCTTAAAAAATTACTTTAATTAAAAATCGACATCATACTGAGACAAATTACGACTGAGCTTTTACGTCTTGAAGATCATCAAAAAATAAATAAATAAACGAATATCCTTATTTATTACCATAGTATCAAGGGAATCAAATAGGATTAAAAGATATAATTTCGATCTTAGATCTATTCAGAATTAAATACTAATATTTACTTTACTTCGCTTATTTTCTGTAGTTTATATAATAACAACTTTGTTAATTCGGCATCGGAGAGAATTTTTGCGTGCATAAAATTCTATTTTATAAAACTCTATAAGTAGAATAAAAAGTATATCATTACTATGCTCGCAATAATAGAAATGATTATCAATAAAAATAAGACATCAAAGTTAATTTTCACATCATGTGCATAATTCATTACCAAAGAACAATATTATTTGAATATTTTTTTAATCACTACGCTCAATTACAAAGCCTAAGATGCCTGACAGAGAATGCTACTATCAAATGAAGTCAGTAGTTCTTTGATGAATATCGAACATTTACATAAATTAAATGTAATGACAATTAACATTTTAGAATTAATTTTCTCACTTACTAGACTTTAAATCAAGCATATTCTATTACATTGATAAAAGAATAGTTATATTCGATTATTTAAATAAAGAGTGAACCAAAAGTTTTGGTATTTAAATAAAAAAAGATTTCTTTTTCTCTCTTATTATAAATCCGAAATTGTTCAACGTTGGAGTGAGGTTAAAAAGAAAAAGAATTAAATTGAAAGATGAATTAGATGTCTATGGTATATTTATTTACAGGTCTTGAAATCTGATTGATTATTTATATATAAAAAAATGCATGACTATTGTCAATCATTCGTTTTCAACGATTTTTGACAAATTTTCTTTTGAAATTTTTTCTTTTAATATGCCATCTGTTGATCTATATATTATCCACTTTTATTACTTCTACTAAGTATCAATGTTTGAAAAATATAAAAATCTTCGAGAACAAAATTTTAACTTCAAATAATTTGTATAAAAGATAATCATCAAGCGATATTGTTGATGAATTACAAGAAGATTACAATGTTTTATTAAAAAAGAAATGAATATAACAATATATGAAAATATAAATTATTGTGTTATTTCCTATTGTATTTATCATAAAAATTAATTACTCTAGATGGTTTTTTATGAATAAAAATTTTATTCCTTCTTCCGAAAAAAATCTTCCACTTAGGTCAAATTTATATATTTTTATAAAAGTAGGACTAAGTTATGAAAATTTACAATAAAATTCATCTAGTTTCAAGAGATTACATCCACAACTTTGAGCAACCTTGAATTTGTAATACGGAAGAAAAAGAAATTTTTCTTTCAATTATTAAAACTTTCAGCTCACATTTTTACTTGGTACTTTAAAATAAGCCATCGTTGCCGTTAGAATGAGGAACTTTTTCCTAAAACATATTCTCATTCGTTTCTTTTCCTATTCTCTTGTAGATCTTTGACAATAGAACTTTGATGAAAACACAACGTATCATTATATAGAATATTTCTATTATTTTCAACAAGAATAAATTACTCATTAATGAAATTAATTTTATGTGCAAAAGAAAACTACACAATTCGATTTTGCAACAAAATAAAAAATGATTTTTTGGATTCTGAGAATACAATTACAATTTATTATCATTGATAATAATTTTAATGAAATTGATATCTCAATAAAATGTTTGATATGTTTTTCATAGTCAATGATAACATCATATTTCAAGCATGGTATAATTTTTAATTTTTGGATGATTAGATTCGTTTTTCATTATCATTTTTTTTTATAACAAAAAGAATATTCTAATTAATAAATTATTTTCTTACCGAGGTAATTCATAATAGTCAATAATCAGTATTTGATTTTGATTTCATTTTCAAAGTAAAAGTTTTGTTAGGCTACTATCATTTTAATAAATAAATTTTCGATGAAATCATCGATGATGAATATTTCCATGTCTATCTTATTTTGAAATTTACTTCAAGCAAGAGAACAAAAAAATCACCTGTTATATGACCCTTTAATTGAGAATAAAACACACTGTCTACTTGATAATCAGAAAAGAAAATAGCTCAATTTATAAATCTTCATTTTCTAAAAACAATTTGCACTTTCTTTTGGATTTTCCTATTCATGAGATAAAGTCGAAAAAAGGGTGTGAGTGTGGGTGTGTTGGGGTGTATCTTCTAATTACCGATACCCACACCCGCAATTTTGCTTGGAGCTATTTGAAAAAAGTTCTCATCGTCATAGAAATAAATCTTTATGTTACTAATTCGAAGATAATTTCATAACGCACAACAAAATAATTCGAGATCTCGATTTTGATTGAGATTAGTCGGATTTCTGATGAATAGAATTAAAGAATAGAAGCGTCTAACTACTGTCTAAGACTGAATTTATCTCCTTTTCAATCAATTGATCTTGCAAATATTCATTTAGGAGATTCAAAAGTTGCACAAGCGTACATACATATTGAATAGGATCACTCTGGCTAATTGATCACATGTTCTTACAATATGTGGCCTATCATCTGTTATTCAATTTTGTGAAGATGAAATAATCGAAGAACAATTTCGACAAGATAATAAAAATGAAGGAAACCTTCTTGTTATTAACTAATAAAGACAGTTTGAAGAAAATAGTGAGAATCATCCCTATCGATACGGTCATTTTAGTTTAGTGGTTGTATTTGATGAAGCAACAGAACAAGTACTCTTGTTCCATACGAGTAATGCGAAACATTTTCAATATTGGTTAGGAATGAAATGGTTAGTTAGAATGATGTGTACATTCGATAGAACAGTAGTAATGTCAAGAAGTTTTCTCATTATTATCAATCCTGAAGAAAATCAAAGAGATAATTTTAATCCAACTTTTGTATCAATTCAATAAACTATCATTGATGATGCACATATGAAACTTGTAAGAGAAAACATCTTTAAATACTAGTTACAGTCCATCGTTTATTGTCTCCGTTAATAAAATCGATGATACCGACATTGGTCGTGCCATAAACGGATAGTGCTCGCCACCAGGCAGAGCGTGGTCTGATACGGAATAAGTTTTTTCCGTATGATGAAAATACCCATTCCTGATTGATATCAAATAACGAATTGTTTATTTTCACTTCACCAATAGACGCTGTTGTATTATAGGTACTAAGAGCGTGAACACTAGTACTAACTGGTGATAACCGATAAGTTCCATGGTTTAACCAAGTAATCGTCCATTTTTTATTTGGAGTATTGCAACCGTCATCGTAGAGCTGAATAACACTACGGGTAATATTGTTGTCATAAACTCCAAGACATTTGTTTGGTGGGTATTCTGGCGAGAGACGATAGTTCCCATTGGGTAGAACACGAGCTAATTCTTCTTGCATTTGCCAATAAGCTAATTTGGGTTGATAGTTCCAGTCAATAGGTAAAGCAGCTCCTTCAGTACCATTATAAAAAGCTGGAACCCAACTATATCGATCAGTAAAACCCCATGTAATCAAAGCACGACATTTTGGAGAAAAGTATAACACATATTTTAAAATAGATCGATAAAGAAGACCCTGCTTTTCCACGTCATTAGGATCTCGAGGATTTCCATCATTGATTTGAATAGCTACATCAAGTTCAGTGACCATAAATTCGAAACTATTGTCAATTAATCGTTGGGCATTTTGATAATGTTGATCAGCAAACTTGACGTTTTTTGATACTCGTATGTGCCATTGCATACCGATTCCATGAACAGTTGCTCCCTGTGATCTCACCCATTTAAGCATTTCAAATCCTCGAGTTGCTTTTGTTCCCATATCTTCATTGTTGTAATCATTATAATATAGTTTTGCTTGGGGATCAGCTTGTTGAGCAAAGATAAAAGCATATTTAACAAAATCTGGACCTAATTTTCGATACCAAAAATTATCTCGCAAGTTAAATGGACGACTATTATTTTTCGAATCATCAATGGCCTCATTGACCACGTCCCACCATGGAACTTTTCCACGATAACGACCAACAACAGCATGAATATAATCATACATTAACGATTTAACTTTTTCTGATGATATCGATGATTCTTGTTTCAACAACCAATTGGGAATATTTTTATCATTTGCCCATACAAGAGTATGGCCTCGGATTTGCATTCCATTCTGCTGAGCCCAACCTGTGGAGTTAGTAGTAGCCCCTAAGAGCCAATCACAGTTGCTCCAATTATAATTGTTTATACCATGCCATAACTTCATAGGTTTGAAATCATTTTCTGGTTCAATGACGTGATAGTTCTTTTTAATAAACGAATTGTATTGACCACCATCAACGTCTTTTCGTAGATTATTTACATTGGCAGCTGTACCGAATAGTATACCACGAAGAGCGGAAGATGCTCGAAGACCCAATGGATTTTGTGCTTCAACAACACTATTGATTGCCAAGCACACCCAGAATAATAACCTCCACTCTCTTATCATTAATGATGAAATGAAAGAAAATGGTTATTTGATCAATCGACGCGAGAAAATAAAAGAGATGAAAAATTTGATGCAATTCCATATCAGTCAAGGTAAAATGAAAGATTAGCACTAGCACATTGATCTTTTGTCTTTCTCACTCTTTTGCAAAAAAGAAAGAAAAAATAATCCTTTAAATCTTTTCAATATGTGAAAAACTACTTTAATTAAGAATTGAAATGGAATGATTTTTTTCCTTCTATTGTGAGTTCGGTGCTATATGTCCCTTGTTTTGGAGATATGATTGACACACAAATAAAGATATTTTAATTACATGTAGGGGTGATGACTTTACATTTGCGAAAGTTTGATAAATCCAAAAATCAATTTAAAATAAATTAACAGGAAATCGTCACTCCTACTTCGAACTGAAAAATGAAACTCTCACCATCACATTCTATAGCAAGGTGCGTCAATCTTTTGAGTCCGATATCGATATAAATTAGCTATTTCGATCAAATTAATTTTTTCATCTTAATTTCAAAAAAAGAAAAAAAGCGAGTTTATAATAAATCTAACACAAAATTGTAAATATTTATTTTTCTTGATTCAGGCAGCTGCCTAAGTAGAATAAGAAAATAAATTATTTGATCTAGGTTGGATTGAGCGATACGTGAGAAAGAAATTGATAGAGCTATAAAGACAACAAGCAATCGTTTATAGTCAAGTTAAAGACAAGATATCTATTGAGTGTTTCGCACACACATTCTTCTGATTTGAAAGTTCCATAAAAACATTCTTTTCAGTAGAGAAACTTCGTGGATGCAAACAACAATTTTGTAATGATAAACTGGCAAAAATCTGGTCCTGCTATTTTTAATTATATTTAATGTTTTCCAATGTTTACAATCCAAACTTGACTCTACAAAAAAAAAAGAAATCATTTTCCTTTTTATATACCGATTATGAGTATTTAATATGACATCATACCTTAATCTGCTAACTAAATTATAATAAGACACGGAAAATATAAAACCAGTCCAATTATTAGTCTTCAATGCAATGGATCATTATTTATCTAATTGGATATAGTTGTAACCGAATTTAAATAATTTCTTGCCATAGATTGAGACTATCCAATTAGTAAATCGATGACTCATTAGACTTCGAATGTAGAGTTAGGATATGGGTCTTGCGATGCAAAGCAAAACTGCACGCACACCCACACTTTTTGTACTTGTTTTAGCTCGCGTTTTCCATAGGTAAGACAAAATGATCTAGTATTTTGGATTTGACTATGGTTTGACTAGATCTTTCATGTTAGAACATTAAATCGAAAAAAGAAATTTTTCTTCGGCGGTCTATAGGAAGGATAGGGTGGTCCTATGGCGGATGCTCTCTTAAAATGTTCTATTCAATGATAACACAAGTGGCAATACGGTTTTTCTGAAACTGAAAAACTTTAAAAATCCACGAAAATTTCTCCGAAAATATGGTAGTAGACTCAAAGTTTAATGTGATAAGTCTTTGAAAAACTGTTCATTTTCTAAAAAGCTTTACATATTCTAAAAGAGGAAACTTCGCTGCATCTTCTTAGGATAAAAACTCCACTTATATTTCCTTGAAAAATTCAATTTTCTAAGGGGGAGATTCCTTAAAACACTCATTGTTAATCTTGCTAAACATCTCGTAAATTTTAATAAGGTTTTTGTATGTATTCATGTCACAATATTCTTTTCTTATTGATTATTCATTGGTCAAAATGATCAAATACTTCATTATTATGAAATTTAATTATAATTTAAGAATTAATTTTCTTTTGCACGGTACAAAAACAAGGATTCATACGACGAAAAAATGAAAAAAAAACTTCTGATAAGTCATGTAGAAAATAATCAGTTTAAATGATTGTAAAACAAAATAATTTTCGTAAAAACTAAATGTTAACGGGCGGAGCAGATTGAATAACCGCGCTGTCCATTTAAATTTTCATTCAATTAATACATTGTATTAAAAAAACAAAATCTACCAAAAGATGCAGCGTGAAAAGTTCTATAATTTACACGAGACAATTTTTCTTATAATTGCACTTATTGTTCTGAAAGCAAGCAAAAGTTTGAGCGATTAAATTTCGATCGTGCGAAAACGCTGGTTTTTTAGTACAATATGCGTTCGTTTTTTCTTATTTCACCCTTTTATTACCTGATATCTTTTATTGAAAGAAAAAAACAAAATATACCAAAAGATGCAGTATGAAAAGCTCTACAATTTACATAAGATAACTTTTCTTACAGTTGCACTTTTTGCTTTTGAATATCGACAAAAATTCGAAGCCACCAATTTTTGCTTCTGCGAAAAATTTATTTTTTCTACATGAGTGAGAATTGTTGTTTTCTTATTTCATTTTTTTTTAATCACCTAATATGTTTTCGTAAAACAAAACAAAATATACCATAAAATACAGTGTGAAAGGCTCTACAATTTACACAGTAAAGTTTTTTGTAATTGTTTTCAAAAAAAGCAAAATGTGCAACTACAAAAAAAAACCGGTCTTATGTAAATTGTAGAGCTCTTCACGGTACATTTTTTGGTATATTTTGTTTTTTTTTAAATACAATATATTAATTGACTTTTGAACAATTTCATTCACACACTACAGAGACATTGATAATGATAGGCAAACAGAATGGAAAAGAACAGTATGCAACTCAAAAACATTTTCTGATTATTATTATTCATTCATGTATGTCATTATGATCTACTGTTTAACCTTGTATCTTTATAAGGACAATTTTGTTCTATCTTTATAATTATTATCTCTTTTATAACCTTTATTCTTTCTTCTATATCAACCAATGCTATGAAGATGAGAGATATCACCTGTAACGTTTAGATAACCAAATAGAACGATAGGACACCTTACATAGGCATTTTTCTTATTAAATTCATCGCACAGAGTTTATTTTTTTTATTCATTGTTTCTCTTTACTGAAGACGTTATCAAGTGTATTTATGGCAACTTCATCTATTCAACGAATACGTGAACTTCGAGATGCATCTATTCCAAAGGATAGTTTGCTTGGAAATTTACTACCTGATTCATCTGTTCTTGATGTAACTAATATTCCACGACAATGTGGTCTTTTATCAGATGATGAAATTACTATTACTGAACAGTATTCAGCTACACAACTTGTTACTAAACTCGCTCAAGGTCAACTAACAGCTCAACAAGTTATTAAAGCTTATCTTAAACGAGCTGGTATTGCTCATCAATTGACTAATTGTGCTACAGAATTTCTTGAAAAAGAAGCATTAGATCGAGCTAAATATTTAGATAAAGAATTTAAAAAACGAGGAGGACCTATAGGACCACTTCATGGTTTACCAATCTCTCTCAAGGATATGGTAACAATGAAAGGACGAAGACTTAGTTCAGGATGGATAAAATGGATTGATAGAATTGGTGAAGATGATACTCTTATTGTAAAGATTCTTTATGAAGCGGGTGCTATCTTCTTTGTTCGTACTACTGAACCACAAAGTCTTATGCATTTAGAATGTAGTGGTCCTATTTATGGTACTACTTTGAATCCATTTAATCGAAATTTGACTTCTGGTGGAAGTTCAGGTGGAGAAGGTGCTCTTCTTGGTCTTAAAGCTAGTCCAATGGGTATAGGAACTGATATTGGTGGCAGTATACGTTCTCCAGCTGCTAACAATGGAGTTTATGGATTGAGACCGACTGCTTTTCGAATACCAATAGCAGGTGCGATGGTAGCTCAAATGGGAAGAGAAAGTATAATTGGTGTACTTGGTCCACTTGCTCGAAAAAGAGAAGATATTAATCTATTTATGAAAACAGTACTTGATACTGAACCATGGCTAAGAGATCCATCTCTTGTACCTATTCCTTGGAGATCGATTAGTTTAAATCCAAAAAATTTGACAATTGCTGTTATGTGGGATGATGGCGTTGTTCATCCTCATCCACCTGTTATTCGAGCACTTCGTGAAACTGTCGAACATTTAAAAAAATCTGGAATTCAAGTTATTGATTGGAAACCCATTGATCATCAGAAAGGTTGGGATTTGATTAGTGCACTTTATTTTTGTAATGGAGCTGAAGAAGAACGAAGTTTGATGGCAGAAGTAAATGAAAAACCATTACCATTAACAGATTGGATTAATAATCAACCAAATGTGAAGAAAAGAAATTGGATAGAAATGAATGAATTAATTTTAGAAAGAGAACATTATCGTACATTATATGCACAAATATGGAATGAACGAGAAGTTTTCTTCAATTCTTCTATCGATTGTCTTCTTGCACCTGTTGGACCATCTGCAGCTCCTCTACATGGTACAGCTAAATGGTGGGGTTATACATCGATATGGAATCTTCTTGATTATCCAGCTGCCATTTTTCCTGTTACAACTGTTGATCTTGTCAAAGACCAAGTAGAAGTTAATTATAAACCTAGAAATGCATTAGACAGTGAAAATTATAAACTTTATGTATCAGTAGAAACATATGCTAATGCACCAATCGGATTACAAGTTATCTCTCGACGATTTAATGATGAAAAAGTAATGAAATGTGTCGAAATAATTGAACAAGCAATGGGTAGAGAATAATTGGCAAAAAAAAAGACTTGAACTTCTTTTTTTTTATTGTAGTTGATTATTATATTTGCTATTTGTAGAGTTAAATTTATACCATTTTATAAATCGTAAATTTTCCCATTATCAGTAGATATACGTGAATCCTTCTCAAAAGCTTTAGATCAGAAGCTGAAAACAAGTTTTATTTGGAGACAAGGGATGATGCATAAAATCGTAGAAGATTTTTCATTCATATAAAATAATTGGAGTTAAAATGAATGTCTGCTTCTATCGATAAATACATAAAATGGCTGTGAACAGCCATGATTCAAGAGACTCTCTCTCATAGGCCATCCAATAATGCTCAAATCTATTCTTTTGAATGAAAACTAAATAATTAATTAATATTGTTTTATATACTAAACTACAATCAGATTCATACGGCACATAAAATACCTTGATATGTTAATATAAGTTCAAATAAATCTACATTATCTATAAATGTAGATGCTGAATCACATTGTCTATCAACTGGATTTGCTGCAGCAATAACCGAATAACGTGTTTGAAGTGTTGTTACAATAGCAGTTTTTCATATTGAAATACTTTATTATTCCATAGCTTCATCAATTGATGTACAATCTTGATCAGACATCGAAATCAAAATTTATCTTTCCTCAAAAATTCTTTTATTTCTTTTACCCTGTCAAACTGATCAATTAAACAAACATCATGATCAGCCTAAAATAAAATAATTTATTAAACTTACAAGTACGGGTGTACCAGCTTCAAGTGTCCATTCTCTAATAACTACATTCCATTGTATATAAACAATTAAATCAACAGGCGATGCAACCCTTTCATTTGAAAATATCGGTCGATATGCTGTTTTTTTTTTCAATATACTTTAAAAATCGAGATTTAGCTGTTGATGGACCTCCACATAATAATACATTAATATCATCACGAACTGGATATTTTTCACCTTTAATATAAGAAAAAATAATCTTTTAATTTATTCATGTTAGACACACATAAAACGAAATGTTGATGTTTGAATTCATCTAAACATGATGACGACATTTATATCGTATTACTCGTAGAATCAATAGCGGTGACAATAAAAGGAACCATTCTTTAACGCTCTGATCGAATATTAGTCGATTTTAGTATCTATCGAATAGTACTTATCAAATTGCTTTTTCACCTATCAAAATCATAATTAATTAGTAAATTTATACCGAGATTTTTTGATTCACCAGCAAACATAGCAAATGCAATAAATTTTCTAATCATTTCATGAACATAAATAGATGGTACAATACTTACATAAATATAAAAGGATTAATTTACTTGTTGAGCAATTTTTGAATCTTTTGATAAACGTTGAATTTCTTGTATATCTTCGTCAGTTAATATTTCAAATGAAATTTTATCTTGACGTATTGAGATATAATTTTCTTGAACAATTATTGCAAACATTGGTAAATTACTTTGAATATTTAATGAAATAAAAAAAACGATAACATACAATTTCATCATTCGATTGACATCTTTCATGAAGATGACCAAGTAAAAGACTTTCTTCTGAATGTGAAATACGATCTGGTGGAACTATTTCAGAACTTTCTTCAATTAATATTCGTTGATAATTTTGACAAAGTGTCTGAAGAAGAAAAAAAACATTAAATTTGTCTTTATTTTTTTTTACAAGAAATAATAAAATACTTCTTTCATATTAAGTTCAAATGGTCCATTCGATTGGTATTGTGGACATAAATCTGGTTTGATTTCATTTTCTTGATTTTGTGTAAATGGTCCGTGTGTAAAATCATATTTATGACAATTTTATTTAATAATACTTAATTGTGATAAAACATCTGTTGATATTGTTATAAGATCACTTATACCAATTTTTTTAGCTCTTTAGTTCAAATAATAAAAACATTAAAATAAAAAAAAAGATTATTCTTTTTGTTATCTTAAATCTTTAATATTATCATTTTGAAGACAATTACTGACTCATAGAAATAATTCTTTTTCAATTGATCGATCATTTTAATAAAGTTCAAAATACACTTCTGTTAACGTTTCACGAAATATTTTTAATGTTTGTTTTTGTACAACAAGTAAAAAAAAAGGTAATATTTCATTCATGGCTATTAAATGTTCGAAATCAATAATAATTGATTGTTTTTGTTTTTTGTAGAAGATGATGTAATGCATCACGATAAATTAGTTTATTTGTTCCACTAATAGTTGTGGTTCTTATTATAAATGTTCGTAAAATTTTTTTTTTAAATGTCGAATAATTTCATTATGTAACGAAGGCATTTGTACTCATTCAGATATTTTACGAGTGTGTATATCAGCTAAATTTCGAACATTTACATCTGATTGATTGTCCATGTCAATTGCATCATCATTTATACGTCAATGTTTTGTCTTTTGTAGTTAAATCAATTAAATGATCATCTTCATCAAGATGACTTTTATCATTTGATTATTGACCAAGTCGATGATGTTTTTTCACGTTGATATCATTTTACTTCTCGTTGAGCACGTCGACATTATTCACTTATAACTCTTGACCATCGTCATCAATTGCTTCATAATCTCTAAAATTACATATTTTTAATAATAATAATAATAATAAAAAACAGATTTTTCTACCGTTAAAAATCATCAGCAAAGATTTCATTTTCTTCATCACTTAATTGCTCTTCTAAAAAATAAAGCATATATATTTTATTTAATATAATTTCGAAAAAAAATGTTAATATGTAATCGTTGGAATATTTTCACTCAACCCGAAATCAAAGAATATTCTACAACTGTTAATTATTTTCTTTCAACATTTGATCTTAATATTCATCATATATCAAGTAAAAAAATCCATATTATTGATTATTCTGATGGTGAAAATGATTTTAATAAATAAAAAAAAAGTCTTTTAATAGACTTGTTGAAAAAAGAAAATATATCTGATATTGAAATAACATCAAAAATTGAAGATGAACTAACTGCAAAAATTATTTTTCTTTTTTTTTTCTGTCAAATTCAAAAGATTTATCAAGAAAAGCTAGTCATAAAAAAAAAGTTGGTCCTTAAAGGATCAATAATCTCGAATACCATGTCGAATATGGCGATGACTAATTCATAGATTTGCTGAAAACGGCAAAAGTGATATCTTTTTAATGACTAGGTTTTTATATATGATACAATGTTTCAACTAATTTAATAACAAGAAACAAAAAAAATAGGAATTGAAAAAAAAATGTCGATATAAGATTCAACTAACAAATATCAATATCTTCGACGTCTATATCTAATCCAACCGCGCAGCGACTAGTACGTGTAGAGCACGGTGTTACATCGGCATTGAACAAAGGTAGACTTTGATTTGTTTCAATTGCTTGTATAAACATGGAAAAATACGCCGAATGTAATGCTGTCCATTTTCCGGTTGCATCGGTTTCCCAAAAATCCAGTTGAGCACCAAATAATTTATGTTCCCTAAGTCGTCCGAATTTTGGTTTATTTCCATATGTTTCGACTAGTGTAGATTTGTTCGATAATAGATTGGGACTCGATGTATTCGGATTGTTTTCAACCTGAGAAGTAGGTGTGGGTGTGTGGGTGGGTGTGGGTGTGAGGATGTGGGTGTGAGGATGTAGGTGTGAGTATGTATAAAATATCCACACCCATCCACACCCAAACCCTCACACCCACCCACACACCCACACCCACATCCACACCCACACCCACACACCCACACCCACACCCACCCACACCCACACCCACACCCACACCCACCCACCCACAGCCACACCCACACCCCACACCCACACCCACACCCCACACCCACACACCCACACCCACACCCACTCACCCACCCCACACCCACACCCCACCCCACACCCACACACCCACACCCATCCACACCCACACCCACACCCCACACCCATACCCACACCCACCCACACCCACACCCACACCCTCTTTCACATACACAATCTGAAGGTGAACGACTGTTAGGTGACGATTTCATGTTTCAACAAGACCACGTCATTCCGAATACACATCGGGAATCATTGGCATGGTGTGAAGAAAATTTCACGTATTTTATAGACAATCACAGATAGCCACCAAACAGTCCTGATCTCAATGTTCTGGATTATTACGTGTGCGATGCTATTACGAATAATATGCAATGAGATAAAGTGAAAGATTATGATTCTATAACTGATGAGATTAGAAAAGGAATTCGTCATGTCCCAAAAGACGATCTTCTTCGTAGCATCGAAAACTGATTGCACAGCATTTTGTCCATTGTTATGATCTGTGCTCACGCACTAGATAATACACGTTATCTTCCTTTTCTCTCACCCTCTATACACTAACTTTTATATTTCTTGTCATTGGCTCTCTATTTTCTTTAACTTTGTCTATTTTATTTCTTTTTTGTTTCATCATCTTTTTTTCATTACTGTTAAGCGTTTATCTGAACCTGCAATAAAAATAAATCCAATAACAACTTTAACTAAACTTACACCATAACATCGATTTTGAAAACAAAAGGTACATTTATAAAATAAACTTTTATTTGCAATTTGTACAACTTTTCACGCTGCATCTTGTAATATATTTTGTTTTTTTTTGGTAAAATATATTAGATAATGAAAAGATGAAATAAACAAAAGAAATTCATCATAGAACAAAAAAAAGATATCGTTCTAAGCGTCGAAAATTGGTCTCACAGATTTTTTTGCTTATTTTGAAGACAAAAAGCATGCGAATAAAAGAAGTTTTTCTGTGCAGATTGTACAGTGAGGGCCGAAAAAAGCCTGGACTTTTTTATTTTTACACATA